GCAAACTCTCCACATGGACGTGTGGGGCCCAGCCCGCGTCAGTGGACAAAGCCGCGAGCGCTACTTTCTACTGGTAGTTGACGACTACACGCGGTACACCACAATCTTCCCCTTGCGCAGCAAGGGTCAGGTTGTTGATGTCTTGATCCCTTGGATCCGCACAGTCCGTCTCCAGCTCCGCGAGCGCTTCGGCCAGGACCTTCCTGTCCTGCGTGTGCACTCTGACAGAGGTGGTGAGTTCTCCTCCACCCTCTTGCGGGACTTTTGTCGTGGGGAGGGCATTCTCCAGACGTTCACGCTTCCGGACTCCCCTCAGCAAAAGAGGATTGCTGAGCGCCGCATTGGTTTAGTCATGGAGGTCGCTCGTACCTCCATGATCCATGCAGCTGCTCCCCATTTTCTGTGGCCGTTTGCGGTCCGGTACGCTGCGCATCAGCTCAACCTCTGGCCCCGTGTCTCCTTGCCGGAGACCTCGCCCACACTGCGTTGGACGGGGGAGGTTGGCGATGCGTCGGTGTTCCGGGTCTGGGGATCTCGTGCCTTTGTTCGCAATACGTCAGCTTTCTTGGCTTGCAGATCACCCGGGACAGAGCTCGGCGCACCATTACCTTGACTCAGTCATACATGGTGCACCAGGTCCTTCAGCGCTTTGGCTTCCAGTTCTCCTCGCCACAGCCCACTCCTCTGTCTACCAGCCACTCGCTCTCAGCTCCACATTCGAACGAGTCCGTAGAGCCGAGTGGTCCGTACCCAGAGCTTGTGGGTTGCCTCATGTACCTGATGACGTGCACACGACCTGACCTCGCATACCCTCTCAGCCTTCTGGCTCGCTACGTGGCTCCCGGCAGGCACCGAAAGGTGCACTGGGATGCTGCGAAGAGGGTACTACGTTACTTGTGCAGTACGTCGGGCATGGGGCTCGTGCTTGGAGGACGGGGTCCAGTTGTCCTCACTGGTCACGTAGACGCCTCCTGGGTTGACGACTCAGCTATGCAGCGGTCGTCACAGGGTTACACCTTCAGCCTTGGTTCCGGCTCTGTTTTTTGGCGGTCTACCCGCTCGTCTTCGGTTCTCAGCTTTAGTTGTGAGGCTAAGATCTACGCCGGGGCCATGGCTGCTCAGGAGCTACGCTGGCTCACCTACCTGCTGACCGACTTGGGAGAGCAGCCTCGTTCGCCTCCAGTTCTGTACATAGACAACAAGGCCATGATTGCCTTGTGTCAGGAGCACAGACTGGAGTACAGACTGAAGCACATCGCTCTGCGATACTTCCTTGCTCAAGAGTTGCAGCAGCATGACCAGCTTCGTCTTGCGTACGTGGCCACTCGGGCCAACACTGCTGATGTCTTCACCAAGGCACTTCTGCCTGGTGATCATCAGCGCTTTTTTACCGTGTTAGGCCTTGTGCCCACTTTGCCTCACTTACTTACTGCTTAACTCTGTTTGTAATGTGATCTATATGTATACCTGCATGCTTGCACTTGCTAGGGTATGATCACTGTATTGTTTGTTCTCTTTATATAACTCTGCATGTGAACTGTCCTTAAGGCCCTTTGCTTGTGCTCGGACTGTGTGGTGACGTTGTGATCCACCCTGAGCTTGCTTTGCTTTTCTTGACTGGTCTTGTGACCACTTGTTCTCCCCCACTTTGCCTATGGGGGTGTGTCAGAACATTATAGCTTATATATTTGTGTAGGCTGTAGAGGGGTAGCCCACAAGGGGTACAACCCAATTAGGGTTAGTACTTGTACCCAACTGTTTCATATTCCATTCATTCTTGTTTGTTATTTTCACACATATAACATCCACGTCACCCTGCTTCGCCCTTACATCCCAACCGCGAGCCAACTGCCTCGCCACTGCCCGCCATCCATAACTCGCCCTGCATCGGAGCCGATCGTTGAGCCCGAGAAAATATTGGGCCATCGGATTCGACACCCCACAAGCATCAAGAGGATCAAGTTCCTCGTTTGTTGGAAGGACCACATGCCAACTAAAGATAGCTGGGTACACTACAAGGAAAAAAAAAAAAAAAAAAAAAAAAAAAAAAAAAAACCCCGACATCCTCAGTGAAGATATCGCGGCGAATTACAACAGCTTCATGGACATCGTGTGCGGAGCAGAACGGTTTGATGCGTTGAATAGTAGCTACCACGAAGCACGGTGCAACCAGCCGAACCAGAATTTCGACTTGGAGGGATCAGCACCCCCCACGACCGCCGACCTGATAGATATCGAGAAGTGGTCGGCAAAAAATGAAACGTGCGAGTATTACGGTGCTATAGGATATCGCATCTTGGCGTGTGCGAAAATGAAGAGCGCACGTGCAGAGTTGCAAGGCAAAAACAATGTGGCACCCTCGAAGTAAAAAAACGAGAATCGCCAGTAGCCGCCGATCGAGCTGGCGATCAAGAAAATATCCGGAAAAGGCAAAAAATGGAAAACTTGGCGACCTCGGAGAGGGCGTGGCATGCACCGAGTGATACCAGCGGCACGTGCCTCGCGCGCATTCGCATCCCTCAAAGCCATAACCCGGCCTCTATGCTCCATGCATTAGCAGACTGGTCACGTGTTGCCTGCGCATGCGCTTTGTCCAGCGGTGACTCGTCTTCTAGAGAATGTACGACCACTTCTTGTTCATGATGTCCACGCTCCGCTTTTGAAGTTGCTTCACCGAGAGGAGAAGACCTGGTTTCTTCCCTAAGAGCACATTGTTGTACACCTCCTCTTCCATATCATGGTACTAGGACGTGCAACCCATGCCGCGAAGCCTCTTGCGTGTTGAATGTTTCATCCGCAACTCAGCCTCGTCCTTCACCCACTGTTGTAGGCGCGTAGGATAGGTCTTACCCTCCTTCACCATAATGCGCTGGCTCGTGCACTCTTGAGCTATGGAGCTTCCTTGGCGCTCTGTAAGAGTGTCGTGCACGCTTCATCTGACGGTGCCTAGGGAAAGGGGGTTTCACATCCTTGCTTTCACTGTTTGAGCGATTTCCCTTTGGGAGATTATGAAATAGGAAGCATTTATGGCAGGTCATCACGGTGCTAACATTCCACATCCTCTAAACCAATCAGAACTAACCCAATACGGTCGAGAAGTTGATGGTGTGCCATGACCAGCACCAGATGCAGTGGACGGCCTAGCGTCCACGGTGAAGGCATGGGATCACGGCCCCTTCCACACACACAGTGGGCCAACGGAGCAGGAGGTGCCGGCGAAGCTGGCGGGGCAGACGGGGCACGAGGAGCAGGTGGAGTCAGCGGCGCAAGTAGAGCAGGCCTTGCTGAGGACAGAGGAGCTCCCTTTCGTCGCTTGCAATCAACAATGCTGGGACATGTTGGCTGTCCCGGCGGGCCGAAAATGACTGACACATAACGTGGGTGGTAAGGAGTAAGACGAATGCTCGCCCTTACATGATAGCTACATATTTTAACACTAACAATAAACAAGTTCTACTGAATGAACCATATACACCGAAGGTCCTTCACAAGGGAAGGATGCACAGGGCAACACAACAAGGCAACATTAAATTGCCCAAGCTGATTGGCACTTACAGCTATGTGATATAAGCAAGGGTTGCTGCCATGTGCTAAATGTGCCTTTAGTCACCAAGTCTTCATGTGCATTACCACGAGGGAATATTTTGGCAGCTCAACGCAGCGCATTTTCACCACTTTATCGCTCAACAGGGTCCCACTGTACATCACGAAAAGCCTTCCAAACTGTTCCCGGTGCGTATATTTTACCAACAAAAATTCAAAAGAAATAAGAAGTGACATTACCGTAAGCCCCCGGATATAAGCGCAGGCCTCGGATAAGCGCCGGCGCTTATAAAAGGATGACGGCGCTTATATCCGGTCCTCGATTATAAGCCCACCCCTGAAGGCTTACGAATTATAACCGCCACCCTCTGTTTTGTTTTGCTATAATTGTACTGAAATCGTTGTAACGAAACTCGCATTTTCCATTCCTACATGATTGAATTTCGAAGCCCTTCACCTCGCTCGGCTCAGTGCCTGCGCGTCCAGTCAGAATGAGTTGTCGGCAGCGTAAGTTGACTCATTCTGACTGTGTGTGTTGGCAATGAATCATTCCCTGCCAACTGGCGCGAGATTCTCAATTCCAGCCCTGTATAGTTTCGACTCGATTCAAATTGCAAGAACGTGATCTACAATTTGGTGTAAGAAATACGCATTTCCTAAATGTCATTATATAAGCGCCGGCGCTTATAAAAATCCTCGATTATAAGCGCACCCCCTAAAAAACAGTGTTTTTTTATACCCCCAGGGGCGCTACTATCCGGGGGCTTACGGTATGTGTTGTGTAGGATAGGCGCTGGGGCTATAACAAACTATATCAACTTCTAATACTTTGCAGTTATCAAGCACTTCACTTGACTCAGTTTACAAACAGTTGTTGTTGCTATCAAATGCAGAATCTGCTGCACTCAGTAGTTACCGGTGTATTGCCTGCCCTTTTTACAGATGTGTGCATACTTTTTGCCAAAGAATGTAATCAAGGACCACTAGGAGCATCTGCTGCTCGTGCAGCTCCATTGCATGCAGCTTCTTATCCACCACCATTTGGGGATGCATGCCGGGTGATGTGCTTGGTGAAATCTCATCCATCACCATAGCCTAATGCAAAAGGCACACCCTCCTAAAATCGAGCCCTTTATCATCCCATGAGGACAACACCTGACACCGCAACTGAAGGAGAGGAGAAGGTTGAGGTCCTTCGTGCCACCCCTATCTCATCAGCCTGCTCTGGAATGGATGCCGGTGCACAAACTGAAGAATGCTTGGACCGTGGCTGACATGGTAGTGCATGAAGGCATCCTGGTCTCTCGTTGTCCATTTCCCCCAACCATTCTCCCATTGGCAGTGGAGGCCCTGGCGGATGGAAGGATCCTTTTTCCTTGCAGTTCACACGGAGGATTCTGGAGTGGCTGCTGTTGCTGTTGCTGCAGCTTCTGTGGTTTAGCCTGTGGCGGTTGCTGCTACTGGTGATCATGCTGCTGACTGTTCGGCTGTTGCTGCTGGAATCGCAGCTGTTGGCGTTGTTCAACAGGGGCAGAGGGACCAGGCATGCCAACAGCAGTGAACTGCACGTCACTGTGCCACTGCTCGTCCATGGCTTGTGCCTCAGGCGCTTCAAACGGGTCTGCATCGCTCAATACCAAACTCCCCACTGCTTCTGTGCTCCATCCACTCGCAGATTGGTCCCATGCCGCCTGCACTGCTGTGCTACTGTGCGGCTCATCCCATGGCGGTCCCAACACCGCTTCATGCACGTGTTGCTGATTCATCTCACGCAGCAGCCCTCCAGTGTGCATGATACCATCGAGGACCTCATTCTCCATTGCATCATATGGAGACGCCCCATGCTCTTGTGGTGGCCGTTGCTTGTCTGCATGGTCTGGTAGCCCGGGAAACGTCGCCTCCAGCGCAGCGACGAGATGATGAGCCCCTTCACTCAGCTGACCCTCCTGGAAAGAGTCGTCCCACGAGAAGTGTGTTGCAGAAGATCGATGTGGTGCAAGTAGCTCAGAAGGTTTGCTGGCCTCTTCTGCCTCGAATACAGGTTGAGCAGAGGTACTGCAATCCAAGAGCCTGCAACTGCCACTGCCACTGCTGCTGCAGCCACTGCTGCTACTGCCGCCGCTACTACTGCTACCACTAGCCATGGCTGTTGCTTCCACTCGCACCATTGCTTGACTTGACATGCCTTGGCGTGGGGGGCTGCTGCGGTGAGCCATGGCTGCGGAGAGAGGCATGGCAGCAGTGATAGCCCACGACTGTAGCGGGTGTGAGGCGGCAGGAATATGCTGAGGTGGTTTCTCGTCCTGCGTCGACTGCTTCTGAAGCACCATCTGTTGGCGTTGTTGCTCCTGATGCACCTGCTGCTCCACCTGCTGCTGCTTCTGCTGGTGCCGCTGCTGCTGCTGCTGCTGCTGCTGCTGCTGCTGCTGCTGCTGCTGCTGCTGCTGCTGCTGCTGCTGCTGCTGCTGCTGCTGCTGCTGCTGCTGCTGCTGCTGCTGCTGCTGCTGCTGCTGGCCATGCTGCCCCTGCCACAACCATCCCCCGTGCGTCTGTGGTGACTGCATTGACGCCAATGGAAACTGGAGCTGTGAATGAAGTGGGTGAGGCGACTGGAAATAGAAATCCAAATCTTCTAAGCGAAATTCTCCATCGGATCTGATTTCACTTCCAAGATCCATTTTCTCCTTCTCCGCTACTCCCTTTCCATGCACAACCTCTAAACCTCCACTGTTCACCTCTTCCAGAAAAAATTCCTCCTGCCTGCATTCCTCCTTCACACGGCCATTACCAGCACCAGCATCGGCAACCAGCATGCTGTCTATGCCCTTAGTGAAACGCCCATCGTGCTCCAAGGCTGCAGAACACGGCTCTCCAGGTAGAAACATGGCCGGAGGGATGGAGAGGATGGATGCAGGCGCGGAGGCAGACGAGGTGGAAGGGCCAGCTCTGCTCGAGCTGCTTCCACTGACAGTGCTGCTGTCTGCACAGGTCGTGAGCCCAACCACGTCTGTGTCCGATATCGCTTGTGCTGTAGCTACAGCTTTGCAACCTGCTGCCTGTGCAACCATAGCAATTGCCTCTCCATACGCACTTTGCCAGACTCCGTTTTCACCCAATCGCCCAGCTGCCCCCTCTGCCACCGGCTCGGCAGACATCCTCCCCTCCAGGTTACAAGGGGGTTCCATAATTTTCTCTGCAGAAGCTTCCTCGTTCTTCATTATCGCTTGTGCTGCAGGTTCCTGCCCAGCGGTTCCTTCGCCCCCCAGAATCAACTCTGGAAAATTAAGCTTCGTCTTCTTCCCTCGAATCTGCACCGCGGCTCGATCAAACGCCAGGGCAGCTTCCTCTGCAGTGGCAAACGTCCCCAACCACTTGCGCACACCGAAAGTCGTGTCTTTTATTTCGGCGATAAACCGACCCTCGCCTCGCTTCCTCACTCCACGGTACTTCCCTGGTTGGGTGTAGTTCCGGCTGCGTATGGTGCGCTTGCGTGTGGACTCCGGAGAGGATTGGCTTTCGATATCTTTTGTGACGGCTTGCGTCTGTCCCTGCAGTAGTGGCTGTAGCTGCGCTGACAGTTGGTCCAACCTGAGCTGCCCTTGTGGCTGCTGCACCGGCTGAGACTCCAATTGTAGCTGTGGCCCCTGCTGCTGTTGAATCTGGTCTAGATGCAGAGTGTCTTGCACCCATTGCGCGTGCGGGTGGAATGGCAGGGGCACTTTCGGAACTAACGCCGAAGCTGGTACTGAGGGGACATCCTTGGACTGACTGTAGGGCTGTGTCACCAGCGGTGTTTGCCCCTGGCCAAACTGGTCAGCTCCCAAGGGTCTGGTAAGCAGGTGCATGAACCCCTGCCCCTGTCCCTGTCCCTGCCCCGGTTGCTGCTGCTGCTGCTGCCCCTTCCATTGCCCCTCCTTCTGCTGCTGATGCTGCTGCTGCTGCTGCCCCTTCCACTGCCCCTCCTTCTGCTGCTGATGTTTCTGCTGTTGCGGCTGCGCTTGCATCTGCATCTGCTGCTGCCCCTGCCCCTGCCCCTGCCCCTGCCCCTGCCCCTGCCCCTGCCCCTGCCCCTGCCCCTGCCCCTGCCCCTGCCCCTGCCCCTGCCCCTGCCCCTGCTGCTGCTCCTGCTGCTGCTGCTGCTGCTGCTGCTGCTGCTGCTGCTGCTGCTGCTGCTGCTGCTGCTGCTGCTGCTGCTGCTGCTGCTGCTGCTGCTGCTGCTGCTGCTGCTGCTGCTGCTGCTGCTGCTGCTGCTGCTGCTGCTGCGTCTGCTGCGCCACCAGTTTCCACCCCGAACCCCAGGGAGGGTATACAGTCCCAGAGGCTAGTATCGCAGGTAGTGCGGCCTTCATGCTGTTCGCGTTCAGCGCGCTACCATTGAATTCTGTCAGAGAGCTTGCCTCCATGATCTGCCGCGCGCCACGAAGGTGAGCCTCCAATGACCATGACGGTGTTGCTGGATCGCTCGTGGTTTGTTGGTCGTATGAGAGCTTTTGGTCCTCTTGCCGCGCGCGCTGCATCGCTCCAACAACTTGAGTTTGGCGCTGCCCGTCGGCGTGGAGGCCAGGCTGCGTTGGCGCACGCTCGTCCATGCTGCATTTATTGATAACTGAATTGGTGTTTCGGCCCGCAATCATGACTGAGAACTATTTTATTTTGACGATGTCCATTACAACGTACCTTACGCCTGCTTCGACTTCGCATGTGCATGAGATTCCGCCGCGTTATTACAGGCGACGAGACTGACTCGCAGCTACTGCCGCGTACTCCCGGATACGCGGTGATTTTTGAGTCCGACTCAAAAGTCTACTTAGAGCTGGTAACTGTCCAAGTGGCTGGTGAGAGTGAAAAGAAGCGCTGCGTGGAGTCGTGTCTCCACCGCGTGAACGACCAAGTACCACTTTCAGTCAAAACCGTGTTGACTAGCACTTGGAGCACCTGTTGACTTAGCTCTTGGAGTACCTTATGATGGAGCACAGATTGGCCTTCCCGTGCGGAGGAAGGTTTCAGACAAGGATGGTTGCGAGGGGGGGTCTGAGGGAGGGAGTGTTGGGTACCTTGAAATGGTTCAGGATGGCAGGGCGTTATTCTCTGTTGGCCTTCATTTCAGAGTGAGTTTTGTACACCATCCTAGAAATACATTATTCGCGAACTGTACCACCCTCTTCGGGCTTGACTTAATAGTAGAAATCACCTTTACCGAGTCACTGCGAGAATCCTGCAGATAATTTTAAGCTCCTTCATGCCTTGTGCCTCCACCCACCCCCCTCTCTAGAGACGTACGTACACCTGATGCCTATTTCAGTCCCCTTTCCCATCTTTCCTGTGCTCCTCTCTCGTGCGCGCGCCAGCTAGGGGCAGAATGGGACTGAATGTAGAACAAAGGTGACAAACTCAACTACAGTTGCCAAAATTGTGGATAGCCCAGCGTGTTTTGTCTGGGAAACTTGAATATCTTGGGTTTGTCGTGGGCCAGTAACGCTCGGGCCGTTAGAGTGGCGTGGGCCGTGTTCAGAGTGGACAGCTGGGTGAGCATTAGGGTGTACCAAACCCTCTCTTCCACGCAGCCCTCCCTTTCTCGTTCCGTTTTTCCATTTCTCGACCTTTTGGTGGCAGTCTCGGTATGTTCATGTGAAAGAAAAGCGGCATTCGAGTGCTCGCTAAGCTCTGCGCCTGGAACAATGCAGTGGGAAAAGTACTGAGTGGTTGCTTAGGGTCCACGAAAACACTTACGACGTGTTGCAATTGCCGTTTCGATGCTCCAGACAGGTGGAAGGCCAAACCCGGGCACTGATTCGGGAAGCTAACTTTCAAGAAGTGATTGAAAGAGATTTTGCGAAGATTACATTAGGACAAAGAATGTTTTTGGGAGTTGTTCTGTAACCTTTATGGCCCCTTGCTTTCCTGGAGCCTTCATAAACCCGTGCCCGAGCCAAGCCGATACAGTGCACCGCGAATTGCAGACGATGTTATTCCTGCCTGCCAGTTCATAGTTCGTTGTGGAAGTTCCTCTGTTTTTGGTTTTTTTTTTTTTTCCAAGCAAACCACGACATTTAGGCTACCCGGACTTCCCAAACAAGCATCCCATCTGCAGGGCGAAATGGGGCAAAGATACTGAGCCTTTCAAGTGGTGGGTCGCCTCCCCCAAACCTTGTGTTTCCACGTGTCCACTTCGTGCCATTTTGCCAGTATGCGCCACTGTCCACCAGAGAAGGGCATCTCAGCTTCACTGTGTTGCCCATTTTGCGAGGCGCCGCCAGCACCTGCCGGATTGAGCGCCGCACCGTTTCATGGCCCGGCCTAGATACCTGACAGGCAGTAGCTGAATGATCGGATTGGGTAAGAGGATTTCAGCGGTAAAAGTCAAACAATTCTTCACCAATCAAATGGCCGAACAGTCTTCACTAACACTTCACTGTAGCGTTTTATTCGGGCACTGTGACACACTATGGGCAGGATATATTGCAACACACTACAGTGCGAACAATCCAGATGGTTTTGCGGTTCGTCGTGACCAGTGACAACAAAGAGCAACTGTACAGGCAACAATGCTGAAATCAGAAAAGTTATGTACACTTCCAGACAAATCAACTGTATCCCCTGAAAAAAGTGGCTGGGTCGAATGTTCAGCACGTGAGTTTGATCAGAACGTCAACTGTACAGAAGTGAACGGGGGACACCCACTCGCCCTTGATGTACAAAACACATCACTGTACAAAGCAAACAAATTATCCTCCCGAGATAGCCCAAACGGATTTGACATGGTCACGATAACCCACTTCCCTGTCCAACTGCAGTATGGGGTGACAATCTTCAGAAACGAAGTGTATCTGAAACACGCCTAGGAATCCACGAGTGAACGGGTTGGAGTTCAGAACCATTGCTATAATTGCACAAGCGCGAAAGTATCTCCCGTGCGTTCTTTTTACACGACTTGAGACCCGAATTATCAAACTGCATTTAGGGTAGCTTGCGTGATTGAAAGGCACTCGATCAAGAAAGAAAACGGGTTGCAGACACTCACGCAGCCATGATGCGTTGGCACGATGAATCATGCCAAATCACATCAAGTTGTCATTCCGGCGAAATAGCAAATCGCGCATTTACTGTATGTCATCACTTGCAATCAGAACCGCCAAAGCAACATGTACGGACTTGTTTGTCAGTGGTCACCGCCAGCTTTAGCAGCTTTGGCTTCTCTGGAGTGTATTCTTCTCCCTTCAAAAAACTGAGCTTCGAAGTTCTGAAGTGTATTGGCACCATGAAACCTTTGATCTGAGATTACAACTACAAGACACAGCACATCATCTGTCTACATGACATTTCTCTATAAGACGCAACCGGAAATCATAAACAAGCTGCGGCGGCACAATGATACAGCCGGCCTTAGCCGGCGAATATGTACAAACGCACACAGAGCGATCTTGGCGGGACGTCCCACAACCGTCCAACAAGAATTCAAGCCAAGAGTGACTGTACACGCTCGTTGGGTCAACGCCGGCGTTGGCATCATTTGCTTCTCTCCATTCAAATAAGCTTTGCTTCGAGGTTTCTGTACATGTTGGAACCACGAACCCCTTCATAAATACTAATATCACAAATACACAGCACGTCGCCTGTAAGTGTAGACAACTTTTCCGGTAAGCGGCGAACAAAAACTTAAGCAAGCTGTGGCAGCACAATGACTCAGCCGGCCTGTGCCGGCGTAGGCACACAAATGTACACAAAGCGATCTTGGCGGGACGTCCCACAATCGTCCAAGAAGAATTCGTCATGTCAGGGGCTAGATTCATCCTTGCACCACCTCCACCAGCAAGCATTGCAGCTTTTGCTTCTGCCGTGAAATTCAATCGAAGTTCTGGTAGTGGAACCTTTAATAAAACTGTGATTGCAAATACACCGAGTATTATCTGTCAATGTGGATAACATCTTTCTACAAGAGGAAAACTAAAACTTAAGCAAGCTGGGCCGACATAGTTATAACAGCCGGCCTGTGCCTAGGTACATACAGGCAGAGTTCTTGGCAGGAAGTCAAGAGATATGTTTGTCAGCAGAGTGAAGCAACCTATAAATATACCCAAATATTTGACAGAATAGCACAACATCAGAACGCTACATGCTCGGCAAACTCGGTGTGAGAATATATCGGACGGCCAGTCAGAGAGTTTGTGCAAGGAATTTTCTCTTTTCCTTTGTTGTGTCCTTATTTTATTTCGCGTACAACCCGATCTCTAGGAAGTATAGGCTCGGCCGACATTCTAGATACCATGGTTGCTTCACATTTTCCGTTCCTAACATAACCAAGCATAGAACTACATAGGTTTTCATCAATCTATTTTAACCCACTATAGTATTTTTTCCCTCAATGTATCGTCAGTCCATTTTATCATAAATTCGACGCACACTTTTTGAACAGCTTTTAACACCCAATATCACAACTAATTTTCACCCCACTTATCCATAGTAGTTTAGTGGCACAAGTATGATTGGCATGATGGGTTATGAATTAGTTTGCTTTGAACTTATTGAATTTAATCTGCCCAACTTTGATAGTTGTTGTGCTTGCACCGTTCTCTAACAATCATACCCGGTTGTAACTTGACGTTTTTTATAATAGATGGATCATGTGGCCTTCTAGGTTGATGAATCCAATATTTTTCATGAAACCCAGTATGCAGGCGTTGAATTCAGAAGTGAATTAGATACGTGATGAAAACACGGAGTTATGCAAGACGTGAGATGAATAGCATTAGGAGCCGCCTGTTAAAGAAGGCGAGAGAACCAGCCAAGCGGTGAGCAACATCCTCTTTGTCAGAATGTTACATTGCTTACATTGTGTAGGCTATAGTGGGGTAGCCCATAAGGGGTACAACCCAATTAGGGTTAGTACTTGTACCCAACTGTTTCCTAGTTCATTCATTCTCGTTCATTCTTCTGACATGGTTTCAGAGCAGGTCCTTCGCTAGGACTGTTTTTTTTTTCCTTGGGCCCACCACTGTGCTGCCCCACTAGCCGCCCCTAGCGACCATCGTGTCGCACCTGCTGCCCAGCGCGCAGCCTTTGTGCAGCTTGTCGCCCCTAGCCCCGGCCCGTCGCCCCTAGGCCCGTCGCCCCTAGGCCGGCCCGTTGCCCGTCGCCCCCCTAGGCTCGGCCCGTAGCCCGTCGCTCCTGGCCCCGCGGCCCGTCGCCCCTAGGCCCCGCGGCCCGTCGTCCGTAGCCCCTAGGCCACGCGGCCCGTCGCCTCTAGCCCCCCCCGAACCCGTCGCTCCTGGCCCCGGGACCCGTCGCCCCTAGGCCCCCGACCCGTCGCTCTTGGCCCCGTGGCCCGTTGCTCCTGGCCCCGCTGCCCGTCGCCCCTTGGCCCCACAACCCGTCGCCCCTTGACCCTCGCGGCCCGTTGCCCCTAGGCCCCGCGGCCCGTCGCCCCTAGGCCCCCCGACCCTTGCGGCCCGTCGCCCCTAGGCCCCCCGACCCTTGCGGCCCGTCGCCCCTAGGCCCCCGGCCCGTCACTCTCGGCCCCGCGGCCCGTCGCTCCTGGCCCCGCGGCCCGTTGCCCCTAGCCCCACGGCCCGTCGCTCCTAGGCCCCCGACCCTCGCGACCCGTCGCCCCCCGGCCCCGCGGCCCGTCTCCCCTAGG